GCACCAGTGAAATCGCCACAGTGTGGTAGTCCAACACGATCTGAACGATGACAAAACCAGTTGACCTGCCAGGGTGGATGGGGGAACTTCACCATGTCCCACCTCAAAAAGAGAAGTTTCAGGCAGTCAATGGGTGATGAGGGAGGGAGAGTCAAAGACTAATCATAGTATTAACAACTACCATTTCAGAAAGATCATATTGGCGTCAGTGAGGGATGGAGCAATACAAGACAGGAGGCAGGATGAATAACTTGGAGAGGGCTGAACAAGTCCAGAGAAGAAAGGATAAGGTCTGCAAGCAGACAGCAAGAACTAGAAAATAGGTAGCAGTTACAAGAGCAGAAGTGAGAGAAGGCACTAAAGTCAGATGAGAGGAGCTGGTCAAGCCAAGGGAGAAAGGGAGGGAAAAGGACTAACACGGGTTTCACACTTGGGCTTGGGTCACTGGAGGGGGAAAGGCTGAGTCTGCTCAAGAGGAAGTAGTTGCTGAAAAGACAGATAAAGAATCATTTTCTCTAGATGCTAAATTTGAGCTATCTTTGAGGCATCGTCTCAGAAATAGTTGAAGATATGTTCCTGAAACTCTGCACTGAAGTTGGGTTCCACTGAGTAACAGACAGGAGAATTAATGTGTATGAAGTTAGTGAAGTAAGTAGAAAAATAAGTTATGAGAAGAAAAGCGTTCTAAGAAGTAATCAGATTTGAGGACTCAAAAAATTCCAAAGACTGTAACAATGGAAAGATCACAAGAGATCATGGCAGAGGAGCTTCAGGGGGAGGGAGGGGTGTGAGTGAGTGTGAGTCATCAAGGGTACACAAGAAAATTACAATCCATTATGTCCCAGAGATTGTGCTAAGGCTAGGGAACATTAGTGAGGAAACCCAACAACTTCTTATGAAGATTACTGCCTAAAGAGAAATGATGAGGAACACATTAAGTGATGAGAAATAGGAAGGTGGAAAAAATATTATTTTTTCAAGAATTTGAGCAAAAGGAAGGAGAAAGAGCTGGAACAGAAAAGATGCTTTGCTGGGTTTTTCTTACAATCTTTATGGACTATGGCTAAAGTACCAGTAAATGGAAAGGCTAAAAATTATGACAAAATGAATAACCAGTGCAGCAAAAGTCAGTAGGTTATCCACACCCCGTGTCTGGATTATTTCAAGTTTATCCTTCTGGATTAAGTTCAATTATAACATTTACCCTAGCATACATTCCTGACACCCTTATCCCAAGTTCCCACAAGCCAGGTCCTTCCCACTGTACACGCCCATCTAGCATTACATAAGTAGGGCATTTTTTTTTTTAAGTTTTTAATAGTTTTACTATTTTAAATTATAAAAATGAATATATATTATTGTTGTAAGGAAAAAAATCACTACAAAGAAGAAAACAAGATTGCTTGTGTGGACTGTTTAGGCGCCTACTTGAAGATCCTCACTATTTAGCTATTCACCTCTTTAGGGTCTTCCCCATGATACGGAGCAATTATTATAATGAGAATGCATGCATACAGCTGCAACATTAAAGAAATCTATTCTCTCATCCAAGTTGCCTATAAAAGAAATGTACTTCTAACCCCTTAAGCAAGTTTCCTAGCTAATTATTCCCCCAAATCATAACAGATTCATTAGACTGAGTACTTGCATTTGTCTTAGCACTGTTCTCAAACCTTACTGAAGTCATATATGAGCAAAATAGAGTTTTGAATCCATAAATAAAAAGAAGAGAGAAGAGGGGGAAGTACCTGGTGACAGCAGAGTCATTTCATCAAAGTACGGAGAGACAGAAACCAGATAGACAAGTACTGACTGCCCAGAACCAAAAAAAGATAAACCAGGGCCCAGCACGGTAGAGCCTGCCTTTAATCCCGGCACTCAGGAGGCAGAAGCAGGTGCATCTCTGTGAAAAACAGAAGAGCTTCTTGGTGTCTGCATGTGTAACACGTACAGCCCGAGCAGCCCCTCTCCCATTCTGAGCATGGAAAGCAGGATTACTCAGAAGAAAAACCCAGCAAAGCTCCAGACTCAAAGTAAGCTGGGGGGATTCCAGATCCAGGCACAGCAAGGACTGAAAACAGAGGCAGAAAAATGTCTACAGACTGAAGTCTAAGGCTCAGGGTCAATCAACCTATCCTCAAATCCCAGAGTACTGCCAGGGCAGATTTATAGCTTTCCAAGATTAAAGCACAGATATGTGGAAAATTTTTTGGAAAACCCCAAAGGAAAGACCTACAGTTTTTTTTTTAATATTTTATTTATTATTTTTTTATGTGTATGCATTTATTGCCTGCGTGTAGATAAGTGTACCCGTGTTGTGCAATGCCCACAGAAGACAGAAGAGGCCATGAGATCCCCTGGAACTGGTGTTAAAGACAGTTATTAGCTGCCATGTGGGTGCTGGGATTTGAACCCGGGTCTTCTGCAAGAACAGTCAGTGTTCTTAACCGCTGAGCCATCTCTCTAGCCCCAAGACCTACAGTTTTAACTGACATTTGGAGAGCTAAGTCCGTAACAAAAGGGCCAGTTGGAAATCATAATTAAGCCCACTACACAAAGCTACTGATGCCAGCTTTATAAGGCCTTACTTTTAAACAGGAAGTGACAGCCGAGAATCATCATACCTCTAAGAAACACAAATAGGGCAAAACAAGCCTTAACAAACAAATAAACAAATAATAAACACTTAATCTAAATAAAACAAACACCATTCAGGAAGCAGGTGAAAATATTTTCTTTTTTCTTATTTTTTTCTTCCTTTCTTGAAGCAGTCACACATTGTAGCCCTGGCTTGTCTTGAACTCAAGACAATCTTCTTGTTTTGGCTTCCCAAGTGCTTAGAATATAGGTGTGAGCCATTTTGCCTAATTTTTAAAAGTTAAATATGATTAGCAATTAAGATTAAAAAAATCATATGAGAGAATAAAGGTATTTGTCTCCTGTTTGCTTTTATTTGGTGTGTGTGTGTGTGTGTGTCTCTCTCTGCAGGAGCATGCCATAGCCTATATGTGGAGGTCAGAGAACAACTTTCAGGAGCTGGTTTTCTCCTTCTGTTGTAGGTTCTAGGAATCAAACTCAGGTGTCCAGGTTTGTGCAGCAAGCACTTTTATCCACTGAGCCATCCTACCCAGGCCCTGTATTTGCTTTGGAGAAGAAAGCTATCTAAGCAAAGAACTTACCAAAGAAAAAATAAAGCCATGAGGTCCAGGGAACAAGGCACAGGCAAAAAATTCACAAGGTGATACTAAAGCTCTACAGTTACCAGTCGTTTGCAGCCTCGCAAGCAAAAGTGCGGTGCAAGTGGTGAAGCCGGGAGTCTCCAGAAGGAATGTCTCCAAGAACAAAGATGAACTGGCAGATGGCCCAATATCAACACGAAATTTAAGTTTCTTTGTCAAGCTTGATAATGAACTGATATGAAACAAGTAGGAAGCAAAGCAAAGAGAAAAGCAGGTGCTGTGCTCTGAATGCGAAATGTCCCCCAGTCTCCCACGTGTGAACACTTGGTTGCCAGGTGGTGGTGCTGTTTGGAAAGGCAGCAGAACCTTAAGGTGACAGAGCCTCTCTGGTAAAAGTGTGTAGCTGGGGGTGAGCCTTGAAGCCTGACAGCCCAGCCCCCAGTTCCTGTCCATTTTCTGTTTCCCCAGTGTAGATGCCTTAACCAGCCACCTTTCTATTGTTATGTAATAGCTACCCACGTAAGAAAAGAATGCAATTCAGGATAAAACCCTTAAAAATATGGCATTTGGGGCCAGCAAGATGGCTCAGTGGGTAAAGGTGCTTGCTGCTGAGCCTGAGAACCTCACTTCAATCCCTGAGATTCAGATGAAAGGAGAGAACCAACTCCTATATGTTGTCCTCTGGGCCTCCACTCTCTCACAGTGGCATGCATACTGCCCCTAGACAGACAGACAGACTCTCCCTCCCCGCCCCCCACAAAATATAAAGGAAAAAATATGGAATTTGGAATCTTAAAATGGAAAGACGTTCCTCAGAATAAGAGACTGTGTATCAGGGTCAGAAGGGATGTAATGGGCCTCAGCTCTGCAACTTAATAACAAGGTAATCTAGGGCGAATTACTTGATCTCATGTTTAAATTTCTTCATCTCTAAACTGGAAATAGCAATGTTACCTACTACCTAAGAGTTCATGGTGCTCAAACAATATCTACATAAATAGTTTAGCAGAATGTCTAGTACAAAAAATGTTCAATAAGTATCAGTTATTTCTATTTGAATAATGTTATGGCACACCACTCAAAAAGACAGCAACCCAGGATTGCTGACAAGTACAATCCACTCCTGCCCCCTAAAGTTAATCTAAACTTACTCAATATTCAGTATACCTATATGACAAATGGAAGTCTCAGATTACAAAAGCATTCATCTCTAATATTACATAAAAACACGTCCCAGATGAACCAAAGATTTACATATACAGGAAAATAAAAAATAGAAAAAAATAGAGAACTCATCACCTTTTCCATTTTCTTCCTTATTCTTGGAGTTAATTTTTCTTTATTGCCAAATAAAATTTTAAAACATTATTTGGGTGCTGGGAATTGAACCTGGGTCCTCTGTAAGAGCAGTCAGTTCTCTTAACCACTGAGCCATCTCGGTGCACTCATATGTGCAGGCAATTCACTCATACACATAAAATGATAAAAATAATAAAAGTAAAATATTTTTTAAAAAAACATTATTTGGTCATTTCTAGTCCTCAAAAACATGTTTCTTCCAGATAAAGATAAATAGTAACTCCAGACTAAGCAACTGTGGTTTGAACATGTCTTTTAAGTTTGGCAAAAAAGATTTAGAATCATAGCAAAGTTAAGAGAATGTCCATGAAATTATGACTTATTCACTCTGATATTTACTTCTTCTTTTTATTCTTTGGTCTGATGCACAGTGATTTCAATATTACTTTCATTCCTACCTCTGATTCTGTAAGATTTTAAAGATAGACTGATAATATACATTTATTATTTTTGAATTATTACCTTGGATTTGGTATTTCTCCAAGAATTTCATCTAACTTGTCAATAAAATGAATCAACTCTGACAATCCTTTCACATGTGCCCGTAACGGATCTGATGGTGAGGGTGCATAGCCTTTCCCTCCGAGCTCTAATGTTCTAATAAATGATGTGGCCACCTATGGATGAAAACAAATAATTTAGTGATCTTTATTGATTTTGGAGGGGGGAGGGGGGAGGGAGGGGGAGGGGAGAGGGAGAAAGAGAAAAGAAAAGAAGAGGAAAATTGTACATTTTCTTATTAGGACTAACACTATACAGAACATGTCTATGTAGAGAAATTCTTCTACAGTAAAAAAAAAATACAATGGATTTTCAAGTAGAGATAAATCATGTTACTCACTGCAGTTACAAGTTAAAGTACACTGCTCAAGTTTTAAATAAACTTAAAATATAACACATCCATACCAAAAAGATAGACATCTGTTTTTCTCGAGCCGCATGTTTCAAATTGGTGAAGGCATCTCTTCCCAGTCCTCTATCCGGAATATTGAGAATATGAGCCAGAGCCAGGTCATTCTTTGAATTCACTAGTAGGTTCAAATATGAAAAGAAAATCTTCTTTGCTAATAGACGTACCTATACAATAAAGTATTCAGTTACTGGTGTTCTAAATCGATAATATCTTCTTTATATGTAGTAAAAACACATAAAATCATGTCATCACAATGCTTCACTCAGTTCTTTAGGGAAAAAGAACTGTTGGACAAACCAAAAACATGTTGGATAATCAACATATACTTTCTCAATGAAATCCACTTAATGACAACAAGAAACTATGAGTAAATAACTACTATAATTGTTGGGAAGTAGCTCTTAGGAAATGATATAAAAGATAGTTCATGGAGCCCTTACTGAGGAGGCTTTATCTTATCCCCCTGGGAAAAAAAAAAAAAACTGCAAGTAAGTAATGGCCAATGATACAGCTTCCAGAAACTTTAGAGCATCCGGACTTTTGATTCCCTGTCTGCAACTCATTGCAATACCAGATACGAAGGCTAAAGTTAATTATTTGAGTTTTTGAGAGCTACTAGATATTGGCTTTAATATTATCAAATAAAAATTAAAGATCAAAATGAAGAAAATAAACCAAATGTGAAGAAAACAACAGCATTTAGTTGATGTTGACATTAACTTACCTCAGAGAGAGATAACAGATTTAAAAGAAATACATAAGCCATATATGCAAGCCATATGTAAGCATATTAAATATAAAACATTATCTTAAGAATACACAGTCCACCCACACCAGGAACTGTCTTCCCGTAAGGTCCAGAGACCTACATCAGTACACTTCTCAACTCTCATAGGAGAAACTTTTTGGCACTAGATGGTGATTAGCACAGAGACCTAGAACTAGTCACGTTACTGTTCTAGAATATGAGACTGCAGAGTGCTCAAACCTAAATGGGACCTCCTCAAAAGGCTCAGGGATCACTGTAGAAGGGGCTGCAAGATTCTAAGAGTCAGAGGTGGATGACTACAACCAAATAATGTTTACCAGACACAACACAAAGGGGGTTGTAACAGCATATACAAAATGGTGCAAGCTCAGGACAGACAAAATCCCAGCAAGGAAAGGGAAGGTGGGCATGATGTGCCTCCTAGCTGAGGAGTTACTGACAACTGATAGCTGTTAGGGGAGGAAGAGTCTCTTTTCTCTGTGGATGGCCACACACTAAGGTGTATATGGGCAGCACAAGGACTCAATAAGTTTTCAAAAGGAAGAGGGCCTCTGCTTCCCTGGGCCTGCATGACCACCAGGCCTCTTGTCTGGGTAGGTCTATAGCACCCCCTCGCCTTGACTCCCCCAGCCTCATTCATGCTCCCATCTCCCCTGCCCATCTCTCCTCCTAGCAAGGGACCTGTCCCATTCCTTGTCTTGGCACCCTAGACACAGCGGAACCACCACTGCTTCCTGATACTTTGCATCCAGATAAACCCAGGAGCGCTTCGGGCCTGGCCCAGCCCCCACCTACCTCTGATTCCCTGGGTCTGCACAACCGCAGGCCTCTCTCCAGGGTAAGTCGATAATGCCTTCTGTGCCCTGACTTCCCCAGCCTCATTCACCCTCCCATCTCCCATACCCATCCCTCCTCCTAGCCTGGGTACTGACACATTCCTTGTCTTGGCGCCCCAGACACCAGGGGAACCACCACTGCTTCCTGATACTTTGCATCCAGACCAACCCAGTTCCTTCTCGGGTCCCCAGGAGCCCTCTGGGCCTGGACCCACCCTCACCTCCCTCTGCTTTCTTGGGCTACACAATCCACCAGCCTCTTTCCTGGATACCGGGCTGACCTTTGCTCTTCCTTATCTTTTTCATCCAGACCAACTCAGTTCCTCAGTGCAGTCCCCAGTAGCCCTTGGGGCCTCTTCCTACCCCCATCTCCCTTTGCATCTCTGGGTGGCATGGCCACCAGCTGCCCCAGACCAGCATCTTTCCTGGGCCCTGCTCCCAGGCCAGTCCAAACCCCAAATTCCTGAGGGGAAAATCTTTCCTGGAGGGATCTAGACATTAGGAGAAAGCCTGAGAGCATCTGATCCTCATCTGACTTTGGACTCTATGGGAACTCATGAAGACAAAAGCAATCTGGCCACTCCAATATAAAATCAAA